ATACATAAATATAGATATCATGAATGCAAGGTTTGGAAATTATGTGATTTACAAGGAGTTCTCAAAACAACACAGGTGTGAACCAATATGACACCTGCAAGATAAATTATTTGCTGGTACCTAGGAATTTTCATACCAAATGTCTGTTTCCACACCTAAATTGAAAACAAGAGCATGCTTTTGATATGGTGGAATCAGCTGGATTTTAAAATAATTTTGGGATTCATCAAGTTTCACAGTACTATAGAATTGTAAGATCATCACTGTATACATATTGTATAATTGTGCTTTTTTAAGTGATTTGCACCTTTAGTAACATTGAGTTGAATTTTTGTGAAATAATGTGTGTGTGTGTGTGTGTGTGTGTGTGTGTGTGTGTGTGTGCCTGTGTGTGTATATACTTATCGTTTAATGTAGGCCTGGAAGCTATTTGAAACCTCAGTTTTTTTGCAAAAACTTTCCCTGTTTAATGGACACTATAAGGAATAAATTGCATTACAATGTCTGGAATTTTGGTACACATCCAAGCAGCTAAATATATTTTGACTCACACTTTCTATAATATATTGTGCTATATGTTTTGATTTTATAATATGAAAATTAGTTGCTTACAGATGTTTACATTTCTAAGAGAACTTCCTGTATGTTTTCTCATGTTGTATCAAAATCGGCCAATTTCTACTGTAAGATTGTTCTCAGTGTTCAGTAACATTAGCAAAGAAATTCCTTGGAATTTTCTCTGCTTGATACCAATGAAGAGCAAATTCAGAGAGACAATTTCAACAAAATAACACGATTTTTGACTGTATATTATAAAAGTCTCTGGTAATCAGAAAAAAACGATTAATTTAAACTATGTCTTTCTTATGTGATTTTTAAAGTGTTTATTTGGAAATTTTCACATTAGGAAATGTGCCAGTGAGATTTCCTGAGAAGGTACACATGGGAAGCCTGCAACATTCACACCAAACTTTCTTCAGAGTCCAGAATAAAGGACAGAGATCATTCAGTTCATTTGGACACATTCAAGTGTCCAAAACATTGATGACTCTCTATTTCTCCTCCTGATGCTGAATCCTGACATTGAGAATTAATCCTTGCACACTTATTAATAGCAGATTTTTGTGCTGTGAATGAAGACAGTGTGTCAAAGGGAGACCACCAGTGGCCATATCCACAAAGCCACTTATCTGTCGTAGTGGCCATTGCAATATAATTGAGATTTCTACTAAATTCACAGAAGAAAGACACATAAGAGATAGTGCAATTGACACTAACTTTCCATGACATTTCCTGTCACCTGCATCAAGATGATAGGCCTGTAGTTCCTCCATCTTCCTTCTGGCCCATGTGGACATTGTAGATGGTCCACATTTACTCCAGTAACTGTGACCTTGCTAACTGTGACTCAGTTAGTCATAACTTCTGGTAAATGACTCAAGATGGTTCAGTGAGCTTTTCTGCCAGCTCCCTCAGGGCCCTCAGGTGCATCCTGTCTGGCCTCATGAACCTGTGTCTATCTAAGTGGTTTATAGCCTGTCACGGAGCATTTCCCTTGGATCGTGAGCTTTTTATTCTGCTCTGTCTCCCAGGTCAGGTGGCTGGGTACCCAAGGAACAAATAATACTACTCTTAAAGACTGAGGTAAAGAAGGCATTAAGTACTTCAGACCTTTCCTCATCCTTTGTCACTGTATTTTCTCCCACATCCAATACAAATTCTCCTTACCCCTCTTTTTGTTGCTGATGTGTTTATAGAAACATTTTTCATTGCTTTTTACAGCAGTGGCTAGATTAAACTCTAATTAGGTTTTGGGCCTTTTAATTTTCTCCCTGCTCATCCTCACAACACTGTTGCTGTCCTCCTGAGTTGCCTGCCTCTCCTTCCACTGTGCTTTTTTCCCCCTCCATTCCAGCCAAAGCTGTAACTTCAGCCAGGCCAGGCTAGTCTTCCTCACTGGCTCATCTTTTCATACGTGAAGATGTTTTGATCCTGCTCCTTTAGCATTTCCTTCATGGTTCAGCATTTGTGGACTCCTTTCCCCTTCAGGACTGCCTCCCAAGGGAGTCTCTTAACCAATCTCCTAGACAGGCCAAAGTCTACCCTTGGAAAGTCCAAGTCTTGCTGACCCCTCTCCTCACACTTTAAAGACTAAAAAACTTTATTTTTTCATGATTGCTGTGCCCAAGGTGGCCTCCAAATGTCACATCTGTACAAGTGCTTGTCTGTTCACAAACAGCAGATCCATTGGTCACCTTCCTTACCTGTTTTGCTCACCAGCTCTGTCAGGAAGTTAGTTAGTTGTCACACACTCCAGGGATCTTCTGCACTGTTTCCTCTAGGCTGTTGTATTTCCAGACAACCTCTGGTAAGCTGAAGTCCCCCTCAAGAACAAGGGCCAGCAATCAGAAGACTTCTCTTGGCTACTTATAGAATACATCAGTTGCCTCTTCATCCTGGTTGGGTGGTCTATAGCAAAATCCAGCTAGTAAAACTGCCTTGCTGGCCTTCCCCCTGATTCTTACCCACAAACATTCAACCTTAGCATCCCCTTAAGCTCTAGACAGTACAAGCACTCCCTAAAATACAGAGCTACCCCACTGTCTCTTCTTCCCTGCCCATTCCTTCTGGAGTAATGCTTATGTGAATCCTTCTAATTAGTGAGTTGATAAGAATTTAATCATCAGTCGTTGAATGACTTGTGTTTGGGCTTAATTTTTATCATCTCCATATAGAGTGGTGATTCTGTTTTCCTAATGGCTGGTAAAAATTGTGAAATGACAAGGGGAAGAATGCTAGAGAGCATCTGCATGAAACAAAGGTGGTGTGGTACATTTGGCAGAGATGCTCTGCAAAGAGAATTACACAAATCGGAGGGCTGGACAGTCACTGAATGAAGCTTAAGACAAGTCTTGGATTCTGCACCTGGAATGGGGCAACCCTACATGTATGTACAAAGTGAGGAATGAGATGGTGGAAAGCAGTGCCACAGAAAGGGGCCTGAGGGCTGTGGTCAATACCAAGTTGAACTTGAGTTAGCAGTGCCCTGGCAGCCAGGAGGGCCACCTGTGTCCTGGGGTGCATCAGGCACAGCATCGCCAGCCGGGCAAGGGAGGGGATTGTTCAGCAGTTATAGGGAATTGCCTTCACCAACAGTGTAATTAAATTCAGCTGAAATATCTACCTGTGGTTTTAAGTTGAATTTACTCATGCTCTTTTGAACCATCACACAATTTTGAACCAAAGTTCAAAAGAGGTGTGCTGGTATTATTTTTTCCTTGCCAGCTAAATTGGCCAGTCATGAACTTTTCTCTTGGATTTGGACATTGTCATTTAAATTCACACCTTTGTGAATGGACTTTAGAAATTTATCTATCTGTCAAGGATAAATTTGAATTTCTGTCAGGAAATGAGCGCTAATCAAGTATCTCATGTTTGTGCCAAGCTGTGGTTTATTTTTTATGTCATTCTATTTTCTTATCATTTGGATAAACCACATTAATTTACATGAATGTAGGAAGTAATTAAATAAGATGAGAGCTAATATGAGTTCACTCTTGTAATGTAGTTATCCTATCACTGGAACAAAGAAAATGCAAAGGTAAAACTAGTGAATTCTGTAATACTTGTCAGTTTACCCCTTGAATGAACAAAGGTATATAATGTGAGAATGCTCTTAGCATTCCAATCCTGCATATTAAACATAGCTTGTTCTGAGTAATACTCATCTGAATTCCAAACATTCTTTAAAAAAGTATTTTCATTGAGAGATCAAACGTATAAGCAGATTTTCAAAACTGACTTGATGTTGTGATTTCTAATGGTATTCAAGAAGTTTCATTTTTCAAGTAATAAAGCTCTAGTTTAAAAATGAGTGTGTTACTTATGTATGTTCAATAAGAATTCTGACTGCTTCATTTCATAGTATGTAATAGAACTGAGAGAATTTAACTCAAATTAGATTCTCAGATGATCTAATAAAGTTATTAGTTAATTTAACAAAATTATTATTTAAAAATAAAGCTAATCTAAAATTTCAGTTTTAACAGAAAATACAGGGAGCACTGCTATGGAACAGCTTCACATTGAGCAAGTAATTGGGAACAACGTCTCCATTCAAAGTAATTTGTGATGAAGCTCACAATCTTTACAAAAAGAAAAATTACAAGAGTCTGAAAAAAGCTGGTTCCCAGCAGACATATGGTTTGTGTCTCGATGACCTGCCTGGAAAATTCAAGGTTGTTTCAAGATCCATAGCTGATGGGCAAATCTGTAACAACACATTTCTTGTCTATGAAAAGCAATTTTCTTAAATAACTCCTAATTTCCTTTCATGCTTTACTATCTCAAGTCAATGGTTGTATGCACATTTTTTTCACCCACTTTGTAATCCTGTTTAAGTTTTTGGTGTTTTTGTTTTGTTTACTTTTGGATTTATTTTCTGTTATCATGACCATGTGGCCAAACTCAGTTTCTAAATCCTTGAGTGGATTCCAAAAAAAACCCAACTACAATATGTAACTAGGTCCCTGAATATATTGCTAGACCAGGCCCTGTATGAAGTACCAATTCAGAGTTTAGAGTCGTGGTTAAAAAAATCATACTAGGGAGTATGGTCAAAATCAGCATGGTAAAGTTGACTTACAACCTAATGCATATTTGACGTGCAGACATGGCAACATTGGATTTAAAAAATACTGTTTGGAAGCAATTGAAAAACAGACACCGTGGCTCATATCTTGCCATCACTGTAGATCTGAAGCCCACAAAAATGGCACCTATAGAAAAATGACAGTGACTTTACTTTCAGTTTTAGTTAATATTGGGTAACAAGAAACCTTTCTTTTAGATATATGTACATGTACTCCTTCTAAAAAAACCTGACTCATATACAAATATATTTTCTCCTTGAATGCATTTGGTTTTTAAAAAATCTTTTAAGTCTTTTTCTTATTTTAATTTTTTTTTTCTTATTCTTCTTTCCTTCCCTACCCCTCAAGCTATCTAGCAGCATTTTGGATATATATAACAGTGACCAGGGAATGGCACCAGCTAATATGGGTCTCACAAATGCTTCTTGCCCAGCTAATCTACCAGTAAAAAGGGAACTTACAGGTAAAAGAACTCTGAGATTTTAGTATATAACTGCATAAGTGATGGTGTGTGTCTTAAAAGTTTAATTTCTCCATTAAAAATATATCCATAATTAAATTCCTGAAAAATTTCAGTTTGTTATTTCATTTATTGAAAAGAACAAAGATCAAGGAGAAATGTTTTCTTTCTGTTCCTCTCTTTAGGAATTCAGAAACCATGTTTGCCTCCTGTTTTTAAGATCATTGTGCTTCTAAAAAACCTTGATGTTTTAGAAAACAGTATATTCTTCCACATGTTGGCTTCTGACTAACAATATAAATAAATTATCACCCATTAAATTTGTTCCAGGGTAGAACAAATAGTTCTTTTAAAACTTTACAATAATGCTATTCAAGGTAAAGCTATACTAGTGGATTAGAAACTTTAAAAGTTATGTTTAATTAAACCAAAGAATGCTAAAAATCATCTACAGTTTATTAATATCACTCAGAGGAAACAGTGAGTTTACTCAATATCTTACAAATCTGATTAACTCTTGAATTATGGTATATAGAAAATCCATATGCATCTTAGTGTATTGTAAGTTGTATCCTGATGTAAAATACAGGAAATTGGAGAAAAATATCCCTCCACAGCATTTCTACATTCTTAAATTTAAAAAAATGCCATAAAAATGGTAAGCAACCTGCCAAACTTGCTCAAAATTTAGTACTGGTAGAATAAAGATTTGCCTATGATCTTTTTTAATAATACAAAAAGGAATGCAATAAAAGGACTGGAAGTCTGGTCTTTGTGACAAGAGGCCATTTTCAAAAGATGAAAGAAGTACTGGGATTGCATCTTAAGGACTATTTTAATAAATGTTACTTTCTGTCAGAAGCAGATACAAGAGCAATGGCAAAGGAGAGACAAAAAAAGGATAACCACAATCTCAGTAAGTATATGTTCATCTTCCATCCCATTGAATAGAATGTATGGAGAATGCAAAACCATTATACATTAGCTACCACATCTCCTTCTAGACCAGCATCTCAGCAGGCTTATCAAGCTGAAGTCAGACTGCAAAAACAACTGACCATAAATCTTTCTTTCATGAAATTAATTTTGTCTCTGACTTTTGTCTTTCAAAAGACTTTGCATATTGCAATTAATTTATTTACATATAATCTCCTGCTATTATTTTTTCACAGTAGCACACTTTACTGGATGCTTTCTCTAAGAATTATAGTGCAAAGCAGACAAGAAAGGACACAGGTTATTAGGAAAACAACAGTGAAAATCCAGCCTTCACACTTTATTTACTGAAGCATCAAAGCAAAAGGCTGTGTCTCTTTATGGGTAATGGGGTAGGAAAAAATTTGCATCAGACAATTTCTAAGTGGTTGCTAAGCTCTTAAAGTTATTGAAATTGTATGTCACCCAAGGAGATCAGTGCAGGACTTTGTGAGACTCACCACTGTTCTGACTCTGCCACACAAGCCCCATAACCCCAGTCATCTGGGGTACACTTCTGCTTTCTATGTGTATAACAATGCAGATATGTACAGATGCTAGGCATATTGGTTTTAGAGGAACAGTCTTAGAACAGAAGAATTATTAGAATTCTTAGAAGAATTTATTCTTTTACTTCTGTCTTGTTTCTCTGGCTATTTGATTTCCAATAAACAAAGAGGGATTTATGGCTTTACTTGCATGAAATTACGTACCTGAAAGTATACATCCACTGGCACAGTGAGCTAGCAATCTCTGTGGATAATATTCTGCTACTTAGGAATTTCCAGAAGGCATCCTTATATCAGTCTGTAATTTTTCTGTGGGTTACAGGCAGACCATGAAGATTTTTAGATGTATTGCTAGCATGTAATCTCTGAAATGCCAAAGGAGCTGCTGTCTGTCTTGTTAGGGCAGAAACGGGGAGTTTTGCTGGACTAAGAAAGGGGATGGCTAGGAATTATCTGGAGTTCAAGGGAGGCTCATCATAGCTACATCAGGGATGCCAGGTCTTACTATTGTCTCCATTGTTTGCTTTGGCTTATCATGGTCCTTTCTGATCACAGAAGAAATGTCTGAGAACTTTCCCTCACCACTGGCAACTAAACTGAAGGCTACTGAAGACAGGCAGCACCTGTTTTGGCTTGGCTCCAGGTGTATGCTGCAGAGCTCAAAGGCTCTCTGGACATAGCTCTACTATCTAAAGGCTTGGACATAATAATGGATTGCATATAAAGGCTTTATCAGTGTGATTTACTCTTTTATGGGCATCAGGTTTCTTAGTGATGGTCTGAAAAATCAGTTTTTGAAAGTTGATTGGAATTATACAAACTTTCAATTTTCAGGCCTACATTTCACAGAAATGTTCCTGTACACTCTCATAACAAGGAGTAATAAAGACATTGGAAAAAAGTTCCTTTTGAAAGACTGTATATTGCATGAAACCATGAAAAGTGATTTTGATTTAAGAAGTGGAACCCCTTCATGTAACAGACAGAGTTTAAAACAACACTTAATGTTTCTTAACTTTGGGGTTTTTTGCTTCCAAACAAAGAATGTTATATTATAATCTTGTCCATGTAGTTTGAAAAAGAATTTTCTGATTTGGCCTATGTATAATTTGATTCTTGAAATATTACTAATTACTCAGGATATCTCTGGAAAGGTTACAGACACACATCAGGAACGTTCTATTGCAACATTTCCAAGCTTAAAAATCTCCCTCCTAACTTATAGACACAACCACTGGAAGTTTATTTTCATGAAAAAATGCAAAAATAAAAAGAAAAAGGAATTCTGCAATTTCACTTGTAAGGACATTTTTTTCCTTGCCTTGTTTTATAGCTGATGCTTAGTTGACTACTTTTTGATGACTATCTTACAGTGTTTTCCACTGTGTAAATATTGTGCCATAGGACAATATGTATAGTATAATTAAAGCACATTCTTCAATTTTGCTTGCCAACACAACTGAAATATATATTTTAAATTTTTCAGTTGCTTTGTGTTTTTGTACACTGGGCTCTCCTACAAGATCCAGCACATTCATTCCAATCTGATGCAGGAGTTCACTAAACAGTACACTCAGGAGGATTATAACCCTGTCTTCTGAATATGTGAATCATCACCAAAAAACCTGAGATGATTTTAATTTGTTAAGTGAAATTCCTGTTTTTATAGAAAGCAAGACAAGATAATGCATCCCACCAAGGTAGAGTACTTCATCAGAGTAAATAATAACACTCAGGTTGTTCCTGGAGCTTGAATCTGCTAGGGAGGAGATACCTGACTGCTGCACAAACCTAGGAGCCTCACACAGACAGGAAGCAACCTTTTTATATACAGGAAGAGGAGGACTAAAAGTGATCCAGGTGGTGGGGCTTAGACTAAAAAGTGACATGCTCATATGACTACAAGAAGATTGAAGTCAGCCCTGGAAGACCCACTAGATGCCCCTGGCTGAGCACTTATAACTTAGCTCTACTGGGCTTTTTGTATTTATATTCCGAATTAGGCCATTAGACTTAAAGTGCACATCTCCTAACATGGAGCATGTATCCATTCTGCCCATGTTCTAGGCTGGCCAGGGCTGGTCTGACAGAGTACAGTGGCATTGGCATATTGAGCCCAAGGTAAGATCTTCCAAGATGCAAACAAGAGAAAGAGCTCAGTGTGATGATAGTGATGGAGAAAAGCTGAATCCTGCTTGTTTACTGAGTTTTGGATTGAGTTAAAGTGGAGGCAGTGGACAAAGTGTGAGCTCATACCAGTAGAACAGCAGTAGAGACTGCTGGTCTCTGACACCCAGCAGTACCGTAATGGGACTACATTCTCACTGAATACACTTTCTGTGCCAAAATTATATACAAGTAATTCCCCAAAACAATGAGATGTTCTCTGGACCTCTCCACTAGAAAAATATGAATTTTCTGAAGGAAAAATCAGCCTGGATACCAGTACAATGCTGGTAATGTGAACTGAGAGCACACAGGGTATTAATTTTAAGAGATTTATTTTCTCTTTTTTCTTCTAAATAAACTACAAAGTGAACCAAGATACCCTACATCACTTGTCATAGGAGAAGCATAAATTTAAATCCAAAAAATATATTTCATAGTCTAAACCATGGTGGGTTTTTTTCATTTTCTCTATATTTTAAAAATTATCATAAGTATTTTTTGTGCTGTCCATCACCAAAGGAAACAGATGTACAGGGGTGATGTGGTTTTGGGACATAATCTTGCGCTATTTCAGTGAGGGGGTGGGGTTGTATTTGTGTACTATCTGTGGGTTTAAATGCTGGTAATAGTAAATAAGGGATAGTGAAGCTGTTACCTTGTGATTTGTAACAGTTCTGCCAAAATATCAATTGCTGTGTGAATTGTCTTGTATCCCCGTTGGAGTCAACAACAAGACTCCACTAAGCTGAAATCTTTGTTCCATGGGAGCATGGTGGAGAAAGAATATATGAATGTCAGGAAAAAAGAAATGTTAGCTCACATTTAGACAATATATGACAATTTAATTTTCTATTAATCTAATTGTAAATGGGGGAAAATACTGTAGTTAAGGTAAGATTAATGATAGAGCTTGTCCTGAGAGTAAGTCAGAGAGAGGTAGGAGCTCATGTTGGGACTGCTATTTGAGAAAGATTTTTTTCTGTATATTAACTAACATTTTTTTAACTAATTAAAATATTTTATGTGTAATTTCTCCAAAAATATTTCACCATAAAATAGTAACTGTTTCTTTTTAACAGTTGAGAGAAGAAGAAGGTATAATATTAATTACCGAATCAAGGAGCTTGGCACACTCATCCCCAAGTCTAATGATCCGTGAGTTCAACTGTCTTTCCTATAATAATGTTTATAGTATTAATACAGAAGAAAAGAGACAGTTGTGTACACTGGCTACAGGATTGAGAAATGGGATACAAAATCTTCCATACCAGGTCACTCGCTCAGATCAGGCTGTTGAAGTAACAAACCTTTAACAGATTTTTTGTGCCTGTTGAAAAATCTATGTGAGAGCATAATAATACGAAAGCAATTTCAGGGTATTTAAGAGAAACTGCCACTTAAAGGGAAAACAAACAAACAAAAGAAAAGCCAAACAACAGAAAGTCCATCTCTCTGTTCCTGAGCACAATTGTATGGTGTCTCTGGAGAAGGAAGTAGTGGTGCTTTCAGCTTTTGCCATGGCCCTCTAGTGGGATAACACAAAATTTATGTTGTCATTGTCTGCCCTCTGACTAAGAGAAAAAAAATCAATTTAAGAGTCAGTAGTCTGAGCATTTTATTCAAAAGTGCTCAACTCACTGCAGGGAAGGAACCAGTCCTAAAATGCAAGGATAAAAGTAATAATTGCTATAATTACTATAATAATATCATTTTATACTAATGCATATACTTACAGAAACACAAAATGCATATTGCTTGAACTCTATGTGCATTCCCTTAAAGCTTATATTTGTCGTCAACATGAAAAAAGCTGTCTTGGAGAAAAGCCCATTGCAGGATTAACAATAACAATTCAGAGTGATTTTTAATTCAGAACTTTAGCCTTAGATTTCTCTTGTCACTCAGGGAAGACTTAAGACAATGCACCAGCATGATTGTAACTTGCATAAAATTGATTATACAGATTTTGTCTTTATAATTTACATGTAAATACAGATGTGTATGATACTTCAAATGAAAACATCTATTGATATTTCAGCTTTTTTAATTTTAGGACTGAGAAACTTTTGATTACATTAAGGATTTCTGCCAGAATACAAAGCTGTGTGAGACTTACACAAGTAGAATTTTGGCTTTATATGAAATGAAGCTACCAGAGAGAAAGTTAACATACTTCATCCATTTTAGAGAATTCACAAACTCAGCTCCTTCTGTAGCATCCACCAAAGATTGGATAAATGGGCATGGTTTTTTTATTACTAATATGGAATTAGGTGTTAAAGCTGAATTAAAGAGCACTTTAAGGACCTAAACAAAGTTTTGTGATCCATTGCAAGCAGAAACTTATAGAAGTGTTTTAATTTTGCTGGTGCATCTTTCAGTATTCAATATCATTTGGGCAAGTAATTGAAAGATTTCTCAGAAAAACAGTGGATGGCACTGTTGGTTTGCAGCTATAAAGCAAAAATAGAAACTGGTTATACTGCAATTAGAGATGGGCATGGGGTACAAATTCCAGTTGCACTTTTTGATTGCCTGTAAGGGTGTTTCACTTACATGTTTTGGTCTGGATTCAAGTTGACTTTGTGAACTTAATCAAAACATTAATATCTAGAGTAATCATTTAAGCTATTCTTAAAATGATTTATCTGGACCTGCAGTTTTGCTCCAGTAAGTGGATGAGGGGCTTCACCCTCAGTTTTTGGTGTTGTTGCCTGATGAAAAAGTTTTAGGTATAGATTCTGAAATCATTGCCTTATTTTGTTTTTGTTTGCAAACCCATGACTGAATTCAGCAGTGTGACCAGAGCCAGAGTGGTTTATGTTTACAAAAGCACAAGGTGAACTGAAGTATCTCACATTCTGAAGACTGCTGTCTTCAAAAGGCTGATAATCAGTACTCCTTTGGAAAGCAGGCCTACTGAAAAGCTTAAGTTGGTGCTAAGAAAAAAAGGCATTAAAATGTGCAGGGCTTTTGAAAAACCAGCTTCCAACACAATTTTGCTATAGCTTAGGGCAAGGATAAATTAATTCAAAGAAGTGTAAGCACATTTTTTGTATTTGTATTTTTAGGCAGAAATAGATTAATTTGAATTTTTTTTTTTTTTTTTTTTTTTTTTTTTTTTTTGGCTGAACAGATCAAAATTATTTTTTTTTTTTGGTATGATCTTTTTTTGCCAAATCACAACTCAGCATCCTTATTCGCTCTTTCAGTTCTTGCTTTTTACTTAACAACACCTTACTGTGCCTCAGTCTGCCCCCTCTTCTTTGAAAGAAAGAGATTTATCATGGCTTACAATACTTTATCTGTAACATTTTATCACACATAACATTTTGCCTTATATTGATTTTAGAAGATTCTTCTTATAGTGGAAAACTAGCTGTAAAAGGAGGAATCTTACTGATGCTTAGACTAATGACAGTGAAGAAAATCAGTCTCTGCACTGAAGAGAAAATACTACTATAAATAAGCCATTGTGGTTAGCATGCCTGTCCCAGATGGCTTGCTTCATGTAGATTACATTCAGAATCAGAAACAGAAAAGGACATTATTTTGCCATTTGGAAATCTTTTGTGATTTATATTTCTTAGAAGTACTGTGTGGGGTTTTTATTTCACTTTGGTTTTGTTGGGTTATGTAGTGAACTTGTTTGGCTCCTGCAGAGCTTCTGCAGGGACTTTCTTTTGACTGGATTAAAGCCCTATTCTTTCCACTTTTTAATTTTTTCACTAATTTAATGATGAAAAGTGTGGATTACATTACATAAATGAATGGGTATTTTAAGTTCACTTCATCAGCATTAGAAAATGAAGATAAGTGTAAGTTACAAAGAACTGTGACTCTTTTGTCTAACTTTCAATGCTTAGATAGCCAAGTGCTAGATGATTCAGAAATGCAAATCAGTTTTAAAGAACGAAATTCAAAAATAGAATTTAAAAATGACAGAAATACTCAGTCATATTTTGCTGGAAAACTCATAACCTGCTCCTTTAATTATACCTGCCTTTCTATTTGTGTTCAGCCTTTCAGAATCCAACTTTTAGGTGGTTAACAGGATTCCTTATTGTGATAGAGTCTGGCAGTGCCTACACAAGAACAGCTCAATGGTAGTCAGACTTAAATTGCCAGAAAGCTAAATGAGAAAAAAGAATTCTAGTAATGTTACAGAACTAGAATGTTAAGAGAACTGCTGAGAACACTTCAGACTATTGGGCAGAAGCAGTGGCTTTCCTTTCTGCTCTCTGCATCTACCTGTACCTGACCCCTGAGATGTCTGTGGACAGACCCTCTAGCAGCCAGCACAGGCACCTTTCTTGCAAAGGAAAAGCTTGTGTATACTCATCCTGTTATAAAGTGGAAACTTGCTGCCTCTTTGAGAATAAAACACTTTGCAACTGTGCAAGTCCTCAAAACAAGTACAAAGTCCTTCCAAGTACTTTGAGCAAATTTCTTTAGTTTAAAGTAAATTTCTCCGAAACAGGGAAAGAAATGTTCTGCAAACACAGTTTCAACTTTGCAGATGTATTTGTTATTAGGAACAGGCCTGTGTCTGGCAAACTCTGTAACTATCACACTGTCTCAAATACTGCTTTTAATTAATTAGTGCTAACTTAGATGACCACATGCTCCCATCCTTCCTACAGCTTCTGTAAACTAGTGAAGCTCCTTTGACTTCAACAAAGCTAAATTAATGAAAATGAGTTGAAGATCAGTCTTTTTTCCATGTTTCATTTCTCCAATATAGAAAACTCTACTTGGTGAGAGTTACATGTTTTATTCTGGCACTTGAGTTTTGCAGAGAGATTCGAATGATAAAGTTAAGAGGAGACAGGATTCAGAGATTAATAAAACATAATGTATTTTTTACCTTTTTTAAAAAATTTCCATTAAAATCTTGTTATTTTTGATAAGTTTCTGTTAATTAAACTCACTAGTACATCTGTGGATTGCTAGAAACTTCAAATTACTCTGCCACATGGACACACAGGAAAAAAGAAGCAATCCTCCTTTGCAGAGGCCATTTCTGATGACCAGACTGGCAAAACATTTTACTGCTCTCAAATGACTTGGCTTGGATGTAAAATTTCCCATGTATTTCAGTATTTACAAGATGGTGCCATGCATGCATTTAATAAAAATCATGTATAAGAAAAACAAGTGCCCAAAAAAACCCCCAAAAAACCCGAAAAACCAAAAAAATCCAGATCAAAGCAAATTAATAGGACCAAAAGATCAAAATGAAGAGAAGAATTCCTGCCATATCTGAAGATCAGTAGGTCTACAGCTAAGATTTTAGAATCAAAACAGTTAAAAATGCAAGTATTTTGTCTGTTTTCATACAGAAGCTTCCAATTAAATGAGTAACATCTGCTAGTGATTCCTCAATTTTTGAAGGTTCTAAAAATGTGTTTGTAGGACTTTTTGTTTCAGTTTTTATCTCTTAAGTGCAATCTACAAATCTATAAAAAGCAAAACCTACAATTTCCTATAATTTATAACTTTTCAAGTAGTTTTGTTTTCACCCAATTTAGAATTCATTGTTTTCAGGGAAATAGCAGAAACCAAATAACTGATCAGAAAATTTATGAATTCTTCTTATGCACTTGTTCTTTGAGTCAATCCATTTTCAAATGTTCAGTTGTTTTTTCTTTCCCCATCAAAGATGAATCTGCTTGCCTGTCTGGTATGTAGAGCTAGATGCACTTCAGATTATCGGTATGCAGGAATCTCACCTTTACCAGCCCAAATTTGCCTTTTTCCTCACCAGTTGCATTGTTGCTTTTCCAGCCCTGCATGTGTGCATAGAGCCTGTGCTGCTCTGCAGCTCTGTCCTGTCACTGCTATGTGGAGTTCTGGGCTACAATGAATGAAGAGTGCCTGTGATAATCAGCACAGACACCTTCAGGATTTTCCTTAGATCCTGGTAAAGAGGCACATGAACTGAAATTCATGTTGACTTCTAAAGTCACCAGCTGTTCCTTTGCTGTGTTACCTTCACACACTGGAAGGTTCAGCTTCAATATTCTTCATTTAATAAGACATCAACCAGTATATGTACATATGAGAAGTGATGTAAAACCATATGTGGGGTAGGCACACATGCACAGACACATACACACGTGTACATAGGTTAAAGAGCAGTCTCTTAAATAACAATAGTAACCACTGCATTTTTATCCTATTTCCATTACAGTTTTGCCTCTCAGATCTGTAAATATTACCACAAGAGCTATCTATCCATATATATCTCATACAAAAGCTGACCAGGTCCATCTCTCTGGCAATTTGAATCTATTAGTCTTTCAATGAAGATTTATTTAAAACTATGAAAAAAAATTACCATAGAAATAAAAACTAAAACTATCAAGGAAACATGAACTAAAAGTAAGCCATATCATGAGATGATATTAAGTGTAACAGGAATGAATTTCATATTCCAAATACAGTCATGAATATATGATTTATTCATATGTCAATCATAAAAATCAACAAAAGTATTTTTTCTGATTTTGAATTCATAAAATTTTATAACTGACATGAACTTTTTTGTGATGACACTATGAAATATTTTCTAAATATGTGATATATTCAAATTTTTTTGCTGCTGTTACATTTTCTCAATTATTTCAATTTTTCCAGGTATGGATTTATTTCTAGTTTCATAGTACTATATCTTGAGGTTCAGACCATCAGTTCAAACCTGTCTTAGTTTTGTTTCTAGTATTTATTAGAGACTAATGTCCTTGTCAAGGCAGATTGTGTTCCTCCATATAGCATATATAGCTCATATCTTAGATGGGAGAGGAGAATCCCTGTTTCAAAAGGTCTTGTCCTGCTATCTTTATTTATTATATTTAGCTTCTTTATTCATGAGTGGTCTGGCATAGACAGACAGACACTGTATTTATTGCCTTTCAAACTCCACTACAATTTAGTCATAAACAGGGACCTCTCAGTATTTTATCTAACTTTCCAAAGAGCTGCGAAGAAAATGAAACTGTGACATGGTGACAGCAGTCAAAGATTGTCCAGAAAATATGCATACTAAAAGCTTCCTTAACCTTTACAGTTTGAATATAGGTAAGCCATTTGAGAGGAGAAAGTCCTCTCCTAGGAGGGAGCCCATGGGATGCTGGCAAGAAATTCTGTCCACCTACCTGCTCAAGAGGTACAGGGACAGGAAGAAGGCAGAGGAGATGATTCTATGCCAAGAGATGATTCAGCCATAATGGGGGAGGGGTATTCTGCTTTTGGCTCCCAGTCTCACCTCTGCTCTAGTTAAAAAAGCTAGAGGCAATGTCTAAATCATACCAAATTATGTTTTGGCTTTGTAGACAGTAGGACTCTAGACAAATTTTCTCACTGACCTCCTCCCCTTCTAATCCCAAAAGCTGTGCATTTCTGGCCTGCAGCACTGAGAGGATGGAAGTCCCTGTATACAGGAGCCTCACAGTTTGTGTGGTCCAGAGATAACTGACTTGAATTTGAGCACTCTTGCACTGAAAAGAATGTTACTCCCAAATCTCTAGCAAATTACCTGAATTATATGGCACAGTTAACACTGTGATATTTTATCACAAATAATTTTGTGTATTCTTAGTGTCTTAAAGTTATCAGCTCCATAAGTTTTTTCTGTAGTAAAGCATTTGGAAAATCTGGATGGTCTGGGTTCCTAAATCCTGTACCTGCCTATCTTATGCACTATATATTCAGAAGAAAAATAACTTCAGAAATCTCTAAGGGTGCTTAGCCTCATGAGGGGAAATGGAGGGGCAAGTACCAGTCTCTTCATTCTGGTGAGCAGTAACAGGACTCAAGGAAATGACATGAGGCTAAGTTAGTGGAGGTTTAGGTTGGATCTCAGGAAAAGTTTTTCACCCAGTGGGTAGTTGAGCACTGGAAACAGTTTCTCCAGGGAAGTGTTCATAGCACCATGCATGGCAGAGTTCAAGAAGTGTTTGGACAATGCTCTCAGGTACATAGTGTGACTCTTGAGGTGTCCTGTGCAAGGCCAGGAGTTGGACTCACTAATCCTGACGGGTCCTTCCAACTCAGCATATTCTGTGATTCTATGAATAAGGGAAAGTGATAATTGCTGGGCAAATAATTTATATTTTTTTCACTTCATAATATAAGACAAAACGTAAATGTATGTCTTTGGAATGGCTATTGAAAAAATGCTTGTCCCTCCCAGCATCAGATTCTTACTTGTTTTAACAGCTTGTCTTTCTCATGGTTGTGTTTGGGACCAGAATCTTGGTCAACGTTCTGTTCGGCCTAAGTGATTTTGTAGTGAAGTAGATAATTTGGATAAAGCCCATATATCTGTATATTTAATGCAGTGAACCCACCCTATATCATAAAATACCAAAATGTATTAGAAATTAAACATTTTCAGCAAAATTAATTCATTCTTGTTCCAAGATGTTACTTAAAATTTGATAAATGGATACATGAAAGTCTTTGGACAGTTTCATTTGAACAAGTGTTTTGTTGCTAGTGAGGCTGCTTGTAAGCTTGTAAGACAATATTCCTGAATGATGGGGAGGTTTAATCTAATTTTTTTCAAAGCTTTTATTTTGAATTAGGGTCTGCATGTAGCTGTAGATTTTAACTTGGATTTTATATTGTTTCAAGATTTTTGAACATGATTTTTGTCATTCCCTAGTCATTATGGTTATGCAAGTGTGATTTTTCTGGTCTGTCATCAATGAGGAGTGGCATTCAGCACAGATAATTTTTTTCTCTACAAGCATAAAAGCAACCTCATTAGTAAGTCAGGTAAAAGAAGTAGTATATTCAAAATGATCTTTAAAAATTTAGGCTTAAGTCCTCAGTAATGTATATTTCCTAGTTCATTAATGCAGAAATACTGCACATAGATTTTAATCTCAGAGTTAATAATAAAAGCAATTTTCACTAAAAATATAAAAACTGTAATGGTAGAATCATGATATTGCATTTAGCTCTCCCACAAAAAGTCACTTTATTACTTTCTTTTGACACTTATTTTCATTCTGGGATTAATTTTACTATATAAGGGCTTCTTAACTATTCTATTAAAATTTCCATTCAGAAGCAATAATATCTAAGAGTGAATAATAGTCATGTAAATCATTATTTCATATTAATGTAAAAGATTTTGTAAGTTCTTATGAATTCTGCTGACATGCACAATTGTGAAAAGGTTATCTCTACATTCTGCAGTGATATGCGCTGGAACAAAGGAACTATTTTAAAAGCATCGGTAGAGTACATCAAGTGGCTACAAAAAGAACAACAGAGAGCCAGAGAATTAGAACACAGGCAGAAGAAATTAGAGCATGCTAACAGAAGACTTCTGCTCCGAATTCAGGTTTGTATAAGCGTTGCCATGAACTACAAAGCTTTCTCAGTACTTATCCCCCATTAAATTTTGTTAATCTATATAATTTTCCTAAAATTAAGATTATTAAAAATAAATTCACTTTGCCTTTTTATTTCTGTGTATATTGGGGAGGAGGTATTCTTTAGATTTCTAGGAAATTTCTTTGATAATTACACCTTACATAAAGTAACTAGTGGAAAATTAATAAAGTATTTGTACAAACAGTTTCATTATGCATGTATTAGAAACAAAGACAAAAAAAAATGGGAAATAAGTACATTCCTGCAGCCAAAAATCAATACTGGTTACAAAGTCACAAAGTTCCCTTTAGTATTTTAATTTTCCCTTTCAAACTATTTAATGTATTATGCTCCCTGGTAAGAATGTCTTATGTTATATCTGCTTTTGACACTAAGAGGTAAAATATAACCCTTCATGGATTGAAAAGCAAGATTTTAATATAGACACACATCTATGGAAATGGGATGGATAGATAGGTAGATAGACATAAAATCGATCATCTTACAGATGTTGATTTGCTTATATGTCTGTATAATGTAAGCATTATAAAGTAAAGAATCTTCTTTTTCTCTGGATAACAGTTTTATAATGAACTATCAAGTTGCAACATTTTTGTGCTATTGTCATTGGAATCAATATGCAAATGATTTTAGAGAGGCTGTCCTACTTCTTCTGTTCCTGTAGAATAGTTGCTTAATAACAGAAAGGGACATAAAAACACTTCTCCAATTTTTTTAGATAAAAATTTAATATTTTAAAATTTAATCTCACAACTGTGCAACACGTATAATAATTTTTTGTGTATGATTTGTATACTTTCTGCAATTCTTCTGAAGAGACTGTTTTCTCATTTAAAATGGTCTAATTATTTTTGTTTGAAATGTTAGGAACTGGAGATCCAGGCACGTGCACACGGCCTTCCAGTCATGTCTTCACTCAGTGCTGTTGATTTAGCTGCACAAGTCATCAAGCAACAGTCTTATCCAGAGGAGAACTCTGTAGACTACTCTCAACAAATGACTCTGGTACATAGACAAAATTCTGATGTCTGCGATGGATCTACAGCCTTTTCTGATCCACTTTCACACTTCACAGATTTGTCTTTCAGTGCAGCTTTAAAAGAAGAACAACGACTAGAGGAAATTTTATTGGAGGACACAGTGTCACCATTTGGAACAGACCCACTCTTGTCCTCCACATCTCCAGCTGCATCAAAAGAGAGCAGCAGGAGAAGCAGCTTTAGCACAGATGACGGAGATGATTTATAGAAGCAGAAAGGGTCTCACACTTTCTCTAAACACTTGTTAAAAGACTGAGTTGAACGTAAACATGGTGTTTGCTCTTATTTTAAACACCTCTAAGGAGAGACACTATAAAATTCAATTACTACATAAGTGTTTCAATCAGCCCTTACTTTACAGGAAAACAAGATGGACATGAATCCATATCATTCTGCACCAAATTCACCCTCTGTTCACAGCCAACATTTGCATAAAACTTTCTTCACTGGGAATATTTTTACTATCATTTGCTGACTTTTATCAGTCCTATGAAAATGGTTACCACAAAAGGAATACCTGTGTTGCAAAATTGTATTCAAACTCTTTTCAGTCTGCTTACACCTTTCTCTGCTACAAATATGAGATTTAGTCATTTGCTCATTTCTTTATTTTGTTATAACTAAAAATTCTACAAAATGTGAAACAACAGAGAACTATTTAAGCTGGGAACTGTAGAGATGTTACAGGTTTTAAAATCTAAAAAACATCAGATAGTAATTCTTTCACACAAGCATGAAGTTTAAACTGTGAGGGTTTCTCTTTAAAAAGAGAAAATCCAGTAAGCTTTCCATGGAATGCCTTTAGTTTCTTTAATTTCATTTGTAGGAAAAGAACACTTTTAAGTATCTGTTTTAATGACATAGAAGAAAAATGGAAACTAACATAATGACAGTGATTCAAATGAACTCAGACTTAAAAAGACACAGCCTTGCAGCAGACTGTGTGGATATACAAGACAGCACAGACACTCCATGTTACACTTAGCACAATTTAAAACAAGCACTACTTGTGACAGTGCTATGTCAGCTACTTATTCCAAGAATATTCAAACTGTGTCCTTTTTTATATGAAAGAAATTGCAATTCAGATATAATACTGGGCTGCTGGATGACACTTTTAGTGTCCTTTGACAGCACAGTGAGGTTTTTCCAAAGGGATTCTATCTGTACATGCACTTTTGATCCATTTGGAAGTAGAGGAAAATGACAAGATTCCCATTGCATGCACTATAAACAACAAGAATTTAATTTCATATTTGGCTTTGGACTCCCTGCAGAAAAACTTGAAAGGAAGACCTGTAAAACTCTAGGCAATATTCAGAAACTGATGAAATTTACTACCTCTCATAACCAGCTTCTTAGGAGGTGTGTTCAGAAAACTCACTTCTATACACAGTGAAATTTTGGAGAGTGATGTACATTCCTGAAGAACATTAAGTGCAATCATTCCAAATGTAATATTAAAACATGGGAAAATAATCTGGAACAGGTTCTTCATAGCTCTTCCTCAATCAAAGCCAAAAGGTCACATTAGGGAGTAGTTATGGTTTAACCCCAGGCGGCAACCAAGCCTCACGCAGCCACTTGGTCACTGCCTGGCCAGAGTGATCGGGGAGAGAATTGGAAGGGTAAAATCTGGAATGGTCTTGGGTTGACATAAAGGGACAGCAAAAGCTGTGCACACAAGTGAGGCAAAATGGGGTATTAATTCACTGTTTCCTGTGGGCAGGCAGCTGTTCAGCCATCTCTAGAATAGAGCCCCATCACATGTAATGCTGATTTGGGTTGTCAAATGCCATCATTCTGAACATCCCCCCCTTCCTCCTTCTTCCCCCACTTTATATACTGGGTATGATTTGGTGTGGTGTGGAATATCCCTTGGTCAGTCAGGGTCACCTGCTCTGGCTGTGTGTCCTCCCAGTCTCCCACACACCCCCAGCTTCCTTGCCAGTGTGTCAGTATGAACAGCAGAAAAGCCCTTGGCTGTGTAAGCCCTGCTCAGCAGCAATACAAACATCTCTGTCCAGCACAAATCCAAAATACAGCCCCACACTAGTCACTGTGAAGAAAATTAACTCTACTCCAGCTGAAACCACCACAGGAGTTCTGTAATTATTCAAAATATGTTTCTAAAGTGTGTATTAATTTTGCTGTCGCTGAGCCTGCCTCACTCCAGAAGTGTTACAGGTTTGGAAATAGTAAGAGGAGATTAAAGTGGATTACTTTTTGCATGAACACTTTAAATTTTTAAAAACATACTATCCAAAACCAGAGCAATAGTAAGAAACTATTGCCTCTTTTGATACTGGTACCTGGGCCCTCCTGACAGTCATTGTGAGGGTGTTTGTGCTCCTGCCAGGCCCGACCGACCCTGGCAGTGTCACTGTAGTTTCATAACTGGAAAATTAGCAGCTGGATAAAAAATCATACTCAGATAGGCTGTGAAAGACAATGGTATGTCCAATTTCACAAGAATATTTATAATTTTAGGAATCTCAAGGTTTTCTATGAGTTTGTGCAAACTACTTGGTTGTAAGGTAACCTGTAAGCACAGACCTAACTATTAGAAGAGGCTTTGATACACTCACACTTCATGGATAAAAAATCGACAACAGACAGCATTCTGGTAATTTTCTTTTGTTTTGGTTTGGTGTTTTTGTTTTTCTTTTTATATGTTTGAGTTTTTTTGGTTTAGCTTTTAAATTTTGTTTTTTTGGGAGATTTTATTATTTGTTTGGGGTTTTTTTGGTTTTTTTTTTTGTTTGTTTTGCTTTTATAGCATATCAGAAAGAGAAACAAGTATTAACCAAAGATAACTGGATAGAGGACTGACCACCATTTTAATTGGATTAATTAAGAGAAAAACCACTTTGTCATAGTTTTGTCAAATATAATTTCTAATATTGACTTCTGAATACAAAACATGATGAATTAAAAGTAATCTTTATGCCCATATTCTGTTTAGCCTAGTACGAGTATTGTCCATTTCAGCAGATGAAACGAAGGGCTATTTGGTTAATATCAAATGCCATTTGTCCTTGTACTGCAGTTTCTACTACATTAGTTTTAAATACACCAGTGTGGATTGCTCATAATGGAGAAAAAGAAATTAAATATGAATGTATTACATGATTTTCCCATTGAACTTTTACATGTGAGTTAGACCATATTTCTGAACTATACTGACTTTAAATAACATCCTCAATTTCATCACTTTTATAAGCACTGTTCTAAAAAAACATTGTAGTGCATCCATTAAATTTTTAAAAGTTGACTTTCAGTCTTCTGACAATTGCTTTAGTCTAAAGCACCAGAATTTTTCTCTGTCCTTGCATGAGAAACTTAAGATAGTCAATGCTCTTTTTGCAAGGCACTGTATTGCATCTATCATTAAACATATTCAGGCTGTCTTCCTTCACACAAAAACCCTCAGCTTCCTTTCCCAAAACAATAAATACATCAATTCTTCTAGGTGTTTACTTTTGCAGTGGTATTTCACCAAAATTTCATTTTTTTCTAGTAGGAAGTCATCATAATTAGCATTTCAGCTAATAATTATAACCTGGACTACAGGTTCACCCTTGAAATTCAATGGTGGTACAGACTGCAAAACCAGACTAGGACATTCTGGGAATTAATAGATGCTACTGAGGTATTTAGGAGATGCATGTGCTGGTAGTCACATCCCAGACTTTCTGTAATAAGCACTCCCTCTTCCACCACAGACTTGGAAATGGTGCTGTGAAGCTGAGAGGACTAGGGCAGAGCCAAGCCCAGTCCTACTAGCTTCTGCAGAGGAAAGGGATTTCATAACTACAGGGACAGATCCTGACATTTTCTGTCAAGCAGAATGTCTTAGCTGTCCATGCAAGTTTTATTGGGCTGCGTTGTGATGCAAGAAAAATACAAATTTTAGTAATTTCCAGCAGAAATCTGTTTAGTGAAATCTCATGAAAGAGATGCATAATATGCCCATGGCTCTGGGCCTAAAAACAATTTGAAGTCTTACAGATCTTGACCTCAAGCAGGCCAGGGGGTAGAAGAACTGGCTATTTTTGTCAAGGTGTATTAAATGAGGAGTTATTGGTTGTTTTCAGTAGCATCTGTTCAAAGCTGGTGGGCATATTCCTACAGAATCCATGAAACAGCACACTGATAACTACACAAAAGGAAGGGGGTTTGAATTGTTACCTTCTTTTTCATTTCTTGCCTTGGTTTTGGTTGTTTTCTTAGGAAAAAATTTTTTTCTTTTTGCTTGGCTGGATAGTGTGAAAAGGTACAGTAAGTGCAAACAGTTTGAACAAACAGAAACAAAATTGCTTTATATAATAAAATTACTAAATATAATTCAGTTGATTAATCTTAATAAGAACATTGATATTACAATGCTTTCTGAATTTAATAGAGCTGTATATATGAATGGAGGATGTAAAATTATTGTAATTTAAAATTATGGTAAGTCTCTTAGACAAGTAAAGGCATTTATGTTGCTATTATGAGACTGTAGAATATTTTTATAATAATTGCTATTTTTCATTGTTAACCATATAGTATCTTGTTTTCTAAGTCATTGTATGCAGACAGAATATGCTTTCTTACGCACTATATATGCAATCTTTTTACAATTATGTTTTATACTTGCTGGCATTTTATTTTTATTGTATGAATATAATTAAAGTACTGAAATGAAAACATCTTTTTATATGTCCCTTGTGAAACTTCACTGCCCAGACCCTCAAAAATATCACCAAAAGGCAATCTAGTAACATCCACTAAGAACATCTGAGATACCGAACAGACAAAATACTTCACAACAGCTAAACATTTAGTCTATTATGATACATCATGATCCAGTAGCATCCCATTAATAAAAATAATTGATACATTCTTTAATATGGTCTCCTGCCATCTGCTTATTCCTGCTGCTAAGGCTTTGATTTATGGAAAGTGTTTTCAGAATGTTGCAAAATTGCTAGCAGGCATGATGATATCAGTTAAATCACTAAGAAGCTCTACAAAAACCTTTTAATGTACTAGATGTTCCCCAGACAATCTAGGATAAACAGAAGATTGTATTTTAAGATGTAAAACATTTTTTAAAGCTGATAATTGGGTAGCATTTGGCTCTAAAAGATACTCACTTAAGGAAGTTAGTAAAGATTCGGATTTAATTTTGAATTCCTAATATCAAAAGTGCTACCTTCTTTAGAAGATATTTGGTGCTTTCAGCACATGAAATGATGTGAAAGTTGTTCAGTAGTATTATAAATTTCAACTAGTTTTGTAATAGTTTATCATTTAATGTAAAATAGTGCTCATTGTTTGCATACATCAGATTTTATTTGTACTAAAGATTTCTTCAGTCTCTTTATTTTGTCAAATCATTAAGATACCCCTATCAGTATTAAAATTGAATATTATTATAAATATTATTTAAAGTTCAGTGATTATCTATGGAAAGAAGCTTTGCTTTTT